AAGAAAGAGAAAGAAAGAAAGAAAGAAAGAAAGAAAGAAAGAAAGAAAGAAAGAAAAAAAGAAAGAAAGAAAGAAAGAAAGAAAGAAAGAAAGAAAGAAAGAAAGAAAGAAAGAAAGAAAGAAGAAAGAAAGAAAGAAAAGAAAGAAACTTCTACTATCCTTTGCTGTCTTAAATTTTAATAATTGTTTTCTACCACTGAACATGCTTCATGGTCTTGATACCCATTTTAGTTGTATCAAGGATTACAACCAACAGATTCTAGGACATATAGTTCAATACAGAAAGTACCAAAACTTTATGTTTGATTGTGTCCCTGAATTTCTGTTTAATCTCGTTCAAGGCCTTTATTTTTTTAGACACATTGTTTATATATGAAAGGAACAGCGAAGAAGATATGAAGAAAGAGAAAAACTCCTATTTTAAAAGAAAGAAAAGGTATCATTTTCACGATACAGAACGTTTCAGAATATATCAAGGTTATGCATGATTTGCTTCAAATTACCACTGGAGAAAAGGAAAATGCAGCTTACCCTTCTTACCAATGGGCCCAGTCTTGCCAATGTTGCCCTGGTCTCCTGCATCACCCAGCTCCCCCTTAAGTCCTGAAAAGCAAAGCATGTCATCTTTACATGCTGAGGTTTTGTGCTCCCCTTGAAGATGTGGCTAATGCATGATAGTTACTGGAAAGAAATACCAAAAAGTGCACTCTTCCATCTGCGGTATGGGACATATATCCTGGGCTTCCTTATCTACTTTAATCACATTATAGTGTATGTATTAAAACTAAATGTGGGTAAGTATGAAAATCCTGGACCCAGTGATACTGAAACGCTTACCAACACGATATTTCTAAAAGGTCTATAGCAGAGGATGTTTAATCTAAAGGTCAAATAAGGGGCTGAGTGGAAGAATTCCTACATTTTATTCTAATTCTGTTCCTCTGTAGATCTATTTTAGCTTCACTTTGGGAGTCTATTTCCTCCCTAAGATTTGACTATATAAGCCGTTTTAAAAAGGGGAGGGAACGTATCATAAAACCTAGTGATCAAAGGGACATCAGAGAGTTTTTATTAAAAAATATATAGAGAGAGATATATATAGATATATATGATCAGGAATAACTGAGTTCCTCCAAAATTGTTATCAATTTTGTTTTTTTCTATGATGACCTAAAAAACATTTACCCTTTATAAAGCTGTATCCCTGTGAAAATAATTTTGCAACTGAATTTGAGAAACAAGACAGAGGGTCATAGGGGAAGGGAGGGAAAAATGAAACAAGAAGAAACCAGAGAGGGAGACAAATTAATCTCAGGAAACAAACTGAGGGTTGCTGGAGTGGAGGGGCTGGGAGGGATGGGGTGGCTGGGTGACGGACACTGGGGAGGGTATGTACTATGGTGAGCGCTGTGAATTGCGTAAGACTGATGCATCACAGACCTGTACCCCTGAAACAAATAACGCATTATATGTTAATAAAAATTAATTAATTAATTTAAAAAAGAATATTGTACATATTTATAGAATAAGAAGAGTTTAAATCGGCATTTCTCAAACTGAGGTCTCAAAGGCCTGTGAGTCTTTTTTTCTCTTTAATATACTAAAGATTTTGAAATCAGTGGTTTAGGGCCACCACCTTGTAGCACTTAGCAGGAAAGACACACACTTACACATCACAGTCTAAAGCTGTATTTTGGGGAGGTTGCTCTTGGCTTTGTGAGTAAAAACACTCCCTAAAAGCCTTTGTGTCATTCTCATCTTCTTTGCTCTGCTCTTTCTCCCACCCCACCATTTGCTGACAGAACTTGGAAACAGATGGGTAAGTCAATGGAGCAGACAACTATTTCTGTTCCTTCTTATTGTTCTCCTTACGCTCTAGGCCAGCCAAAATGAGTTGCTTAGCAGTGGCTTCTGAGAAGACACAGCTATCAACCCAGCTGTGTTTCTAAAACTCACCGTTTCCTAGAGATTTCTGGAGACTACTACTCCCTAGGCTCCTGGAGTGTCCCACTCCTGCCCACCCTAAGGAGGTAGCCTGAGAAATATGTTGAATCTTGGGGACAGTCAGGGTCATAGGAGCTCTCTGGTGGTGAGTAAATTCATGTCTGAAATACACGTCATTCATCTTTGGAGCAGAGAGTGTTAAGAAAGCTGCCAATTTCCAGGGCAAGGCCAGTAGAGAGAGGAACGCAATTCTAATATTAGAGCGTCAAATTCATGTCATTGCACTTACCTTTTGGCCCCATGCGTCCCACTTTGCCATGTTTCCCCTCCTCTCCTGGATCTCCCTTTTCACCATCATCTCCTTTTGAAATGGAAAATGAAAGAGTGGAGCAGCTCAGATAATAACATAGCACATCCTCCCCAGGATATCGTGGTGAACATGGCTGGAATCCATTCCTCAGCCCAGTGCTTGCCCTATAACTCTGATGTGACTATGTATACAGGTGCACATGGACTGGACATTCAGGGAAAGAGAGGACACTTCTGGTATCTTTTGCCTTTCACTCTTCTCCAGATTGTTGGGGGAGATCCACTGAGGGGATGTGAGTGCCCACTGACCTGTGAACTAGACCTCAGCAGTCGATCAAAAGCTCTTCACCCCATCCCCTGTCTTGAAATGTATGAGCTGTCCACCATTCCCACAGTGGGAACCATTTCAAGGATGCAGCCTTGAGTGGGTGAGGTGTCGTTGAGACCATCTGACTGGTATATGTGACTGAACCCTGATGAGTTCTATATGAACTTTTGAGATTCTGGCATACGGGTGTGGAGACCTCATCTTGCCACCACCAAAGACAAGCCTCATCTGTAACTTCCCTTGCTTATTAACACCACCACCTACCGATCTGGATTGGTCTGCCTCTCTCTTTGGTCTCCCCTTGTCCTCAGTGTATGGGCTGGGGGTGGGGGACCAGTGTCAAATTTTCCACAAGAAATTCCCAAATTGCAAACCTATTAAGTTTATGTTTGAAGAAATATCTCTGCTGGTGATTTCCTGAGAACTTTATTTGGTTTAACAAATCTTTTTTTTTTTTTTTAATTGAAGCGTAGTTGACAATACTACATTAGTTTCAGGTTACAACATACTGATCTGGCAAGTCTATAGATTGTGTAGCCACCATGTGTCATCATACAATACTACAGTATTACTGTAGCAGCAGTTACATTCCCTGTGCTGTGCCTTTCCTCTCTGTGATTTACTCATTTCATAACTGGAAGCCTGTACCTCCTAATCCCCTTCACTCATTTTGCCCATCTCTACACCTTCCTCCCCTCTGGCAACCACCAGCAAGTTCTCTGTATTTATGGGTCTGTTTCTACTTTTTGTTTATTCGTTCATTTTGTTTTTTAGATTCTATGTACAAGTAAAATCAAATGGTATTTGTCTTTGTCTGTCTGACTCATTTAGCATAATACACTCTAGGTCCATCCATGTTGTTGCAAATGGTGAGCTCTCATTCTTTTTTATGGCTGAGCAATATTCCATTGTGGGTGTGTACACATATATATTCATATACATTATATGTGTATATATATACACATATGTGGGTGTGTGTGTTTAGATAAAACATCTGGTGTGACAAGTCTTTATTTTTGCTGGAGAATTTGGCCAGTTCTGGAAGCATGTACATGTACAAATATGTATATTGATGTGTGATACATATATAAATAATATATATAATTAAATACATAAAAATATATAAATGATAATTTATACTTTATAAATTACTACTCTCTGACTGCATGCTTGAGAGCCCCCAAATTGTAGGCATAGACCAGGAAGCTAAGAACAGAAGACAGCTAGGAATGAGGAAGCAAAGCAGTTCTGTGTGAGCAGCAGCTCTCTTAGTCATAGATGGGTCTAGCTCTGGTACCTGCCCAGTCAAGGACTGAATGAGTGCCTTAATGAAAAGTATCCTGGAGGGACACCTGGGTGGCTCAGTCATTAAGCGTCTGCCTTTGGCTCAGGTCATGACCGCAGGGTCCTGGTATCGAGTCCCTCATTGGGCTCCTTGCTCGCCGTGGAGCCTGCTTCTCCCTCTACTGCTCTGCCTGCCGCTCCCCCTGCTTGTGCTCTCTCTCTCTCTCTCTCTCTGACAAATAAATAAATAAATAAAATCTTTAAAAAAAAAGAAAAGAAAAGAAAAGAAAAGTGTCCTGGGGGTGCCTGAGTGGCTCAGTCAGTTAAGCATCCAACTCTTGATTTTGGCTCAGGTCATGATCTCAGGTCTTGGGATTGAGCCCCGAGTTGGGCTCTGTGCTCAGCAGGGAGTCTACTTGGGATTCTACCTCCCTCTCCCCCGACCCTCCCCCTGCTTACACTCTCTATCTAAAATAAGTAAATCTTAAAAAAAGAAAAAGAAAGAAAAGATAAGTGTTCTGGACTATAAATCAGGAGCCCTGAATTTTCACATCATGTTAGTCACTGATGGGTTGAGCAAACCTTCAAAAGTCACTGATAGAACATCAAAAACTAATGATATAATGTATGGTGATTAACATAACTATAAAAAATTTAAAAAAGAGAGAAAAAAAAAGTCCCTGATAGAGCTTACTGGCTTTGAAGTAAGACAGATCTGGCCTTTCTCAGCTTGACCACTCATTATCTGGAGAAAGTTGGATATGTGACATCCCTTTCTGAGTCTCATTTTCCCCTCCTGCAAACTGAACTAATAACACCTACCAAAGGAGGGCCCTTGTCAGAAGTTTAATAAGATAAAATGCGTAGGAGATATGGAACATAATCATGCAGTGGTGGCTATTGTTATTCTTCACTTAATGTTTTAGTTTCCTCGTCCTTAATGTGGACTTTATACCTGCCCTCCCTACCTCTCTCAGTTGTTTTAGGATCAACAAGGTAAGTATGTGAATGTGCTTTGAAAATAAACAGCACAACACACACAATATTATGACCAGCTACCTACATTATCACATAGCAATCTCAGGATATGAAGGAGTCCCGTCCATCACCAGTGGAAAGAAACAGAAAGAAGACTTCTAAAGACAAGAGTGAAGCTCCTTAGACAGTTCAGGAGAGACAAAGTGAAGATGTCATTTATTCATCCAGAAAAAAACATCATCAGCCATTCTTTATTTTTTCTGAGAGCAGAATGTTAATATTTTAAATGAAAGCATAAGCCAAGTATGGAAGAGTTGGATTTCCAGGTCGTGAGATTGGTCAAGCATTAAATCACTTCACATGTGAAGCTCTAAAATCTTCTTCTGGGGAAGGCTTTCAAAAAAGAACACACAGAAGATTTGTGTGATCAGACAGGAGGGGTGAAGTGGATGGATTAAGTGGCATTTCTTTAAATAAAGTTAGTAGCAAATGTTTATTGAGTAATTATAATGTGTGCCAACACTGTTAATCATCATACCAATTCTAGGAGGTGGAAACTATTATTGTGCCATTTTATGAATGGAAAAGCAGACTCAACAAGATTAATTGCTTGCCTATTGTCATTGAGCTTGTAGGTGGTAGAACTAGGATACAGCAGGTGTATCTCTGTGCCTCCAGATCTCTACCAATAAACAATTGTCCCTTCCAATCTAGGATTTTTGTGACCCTCAGCAGATTTTGGTTTAGTTTAGATAATTTGACATTGTGCCAAATTTTTCAGTGGTGGGGGGGAAGAGGAGATCCAGAAACAATGACTGCTTTTTTCTTTTTAAAAAAGAAAAACAATGGGGAAGGGAAAAAAAATAGCCTAGTATCTCAAGGACTCAATTCACAGGGAATGTATCCTTGAAGTAGTTCGGGATCACTGAGAGTTGGTTTTGCCACTCACTAGCTGAGGGAACTTGGGAAGTCCTTGACTCACTCATTTGTAGAATGAACAAAATACTATCTTCTTCAGAGGGTTTTAGGAAAGGTAAAATTAGAAAAGTGTTTTCTTTCAAGAAGCCCTCTCTAACATTTTCAGGCTAGGCTAAATTCTCCCTTTAATTACGTTGATTGTTGAAAATAATGAACTTTATACCGAATGAGCCCATTTTTCAGTTCTGTTCCTTATACTCATCTGTCACCTGTGGGATGGCTGGGGTCATGGGGGATTTATTCTAGCAACCCCATCATTTGACACAGTGTTTGGCTCTGATGTTTAATAAATGTAGTTGAACTGGATATATCTTGTGAGCCATAAAACATTTTACAAATGTAATGGTAGTGTTTATTGAATACTATGTGCCAAAGGGGTTCTTAGTTCTTGATATGCATTCTGTCATTTGGTCTCTTCAACAACCTTTGAGAATACTATTCTTAGCTCCACTTTACAGATGAGGAAATGGGTCAAAGAAGGGTTAAGTAACTTCCCAGCATCGCATAGCTTGCAAGTAGTAAAGCCAGGATTCAAACCAGGGCATTTGCCTTCAAAGCCCTTGCTCTAAACAAACTTGATGATTGGGAATACATTCATTTCTGGGTCTGGGATTGCTCTTCTGTATGATGGGACTAAAGATGCATGTCCTGCTCACTAAAGGGCAAGATCAAACACAGGCATATATGTGAAGCACCTTGTGAATCACGAAACCACATGAATGTGAACTTTTGGTGCCATTATTTCTCCTCCTTCCACGCCGCTCCCCCTCTGAGTTTTCCCATTCATTTTCAAGCAAGTATCTAACTGAAAGCAGCCAGATGAGTGAGTTAGTCATCTACTGCTCCCTGGTGGCTCCCGATGGAGACCTGGGAGGGTGAAAATAGGATCATTCTTCTTCTGACTTGTGTGCTTGCCTCCTAGCCTGGTGGTGAGCAGGCTTCTGGTAGAGATGAAGTAAACAACTTGTGCCCTTGCCTTCAGCTTGTACCCCAGGATCATTTGATATTTGGGTCTTGCTTTAATGAGAACAGAAGAGAGGTATAAAAGCAAGCTTTGGAAAGGATCCCCCACATGGTTCACAGTTGTCTGCTTTCATCCTCTTGGCAATATTTCATTGGGTTAGTAGTGCAATTTAGACTTTCTTTTTTTCTTTTAAAAATAGCTACTTACATTTTAAAATTAAATGAAAAGCTATCAGTTGAAATGAACTCATTTCAATTTTACAAAAATGATTTGTTTCAGCTCCCCTAGGCCACCAACTTGCTGTGATAATCTTTCCAGCAGAATTCCAGCAGAGCACACAGTTGACCAAGTTTTCTTAGGTAAAGTTTTTTTTTTTTCCCAAAAAGCAAAAAGTCTTTTAAAATTAAATTCTAGTTTGAAATGAAATAGCTGAACCTAGGTCAGTACCCCCTGCTCAAAGGAAACAATTATTAAAAATTAGTGAATTGGTTTTGGAAATGCTAAAGGAAATTCACTAGGA